CAGAAAATCAGAAACCCTAATTCCCAAATTGAAATTAACAAAAGAAAAGGAGAGAGAGAGAGAGAGAGAGAGAGAGAGAGAGGAAATGGAGGAGAAAGGAGAGAGAAAAAAAAACTATAAAACCTCACTTTTTTGTTTGTAATAATTGAGATTTCTTTGAGTTTTTTGAGTTTGGGTTTTTAAAAATGGGCCTAACAAACGGTTTTATTGGGCTTTGGACTTAAAATCTGTTTTTGAGTTTATAAAATTGGAACCAAGTAAGATACCAAATGGGCCTTAATTTTCTAAAAAGGGAATGTACATTCCAGGGGTTCAACAAAAAAAGAGTGCTGCTATTTCCACTCACCAGTCCTAATTTCCCACCCACTTTATCTTCAAAATTTTAAAGACAATTTTATCACTTTATAAAATGACTTTTAAGGACTTAGGAAAAAAAACATTAAAATCAATTTTAAAAAGGAGAAAAAGATAGTTAAAAAAACTAAAAAGATTAACCCCACCTCACCCCATCATCTGTCTCTTCGCCTCCACTAGCGCACCCCTCCTTATTCTCTATTTTCCATCTTTGTTTCTTTAATAGTCACCATCCCTCCTTCTTTGTTTCTTTAATAGTCACCACCCCACAATCAAAAGATACCAAGCAGATCCACCCCCAAAATTTCAGAATTAATAATATGAAGGGACTTTAACTGAGATCTGAATCAGCCCAGCAATTCTAGGCTCTCAAAGTCTGCACCTCTCAACTGTGAGAGAGAGAGAAAGATATATATATATATATATAAAGAGAGTGAGAGAGCAGCATCTAGGTTGAGTTGTGTGGCTAGGGTGCTGGGCTGTAGGGGGCGAGTTTGATGGGTGGGGTGTGATGAAAAAAAAAAAACTATAAAACCTTACCTTTTTGTTTGTAATAATTGAGATTTTTTTGAGTTTGGGTTTTTAAAAATGGGCCTAACAAATGGTTTTATTAGGTTTTGGACTTAAAATCTATTTTTGAGTTTATAAAATTGGAACCAAGTAGGATATCAAATGGGTCCTTAATTTTCTAGAAGGGGTCCTCAACCAAAAAAAGTATATCGTGGGGCAAATCGCAAGTTACCTACAAACTTAGGGGCTACAAATTGGTAATTACCTTTCTTTTTTGTTTTGGTCCGTGTGGACTGCTGTTGAGATTCAACCCAAGAGGGTGAAATCCGACCCGACCCGGATCCGTCTTCTTGCAGATCTTCAAAAACTCATTTCCAGTTCCCAATTAGCAATTGGTACAACAGCAAAATAAGAAATCTCAAGGCTGAAGCGTAATGTAGTATCTTATCTGTGAGATTAATTAAATCTTGTTTTGTTTTAATTTATGAGTAATTTGAGTTTGTTTCTTTACTAATTTAGGATTAAAGGATTTCTGGTATATTTTAGAACTCTAATTTTTTGTTAAATATTTGAATTTGAAGTTCCAATTTCGTTTGGGGTGCCTTGAGAAGAAATTGGAAACAATGGTTACTTGAGGCCTCCTTAGAGATCTTGTACCCATTATCTAGAAGAGAAAAATCTCTTAAATATTTATCTCGAAACATAGGGATCCACAAACCTTTCTCATGTTGACAAATTCTCCAAGTTGCTTTGGCAAGCATGGCTTGGTTCATCTGCATGGTTTTCTTAATTCCCAGCTCCCTTTAGTTTTGGGTCTATACACCCAGTCCCAACTTGTGAGGTGAATCTTCTTGGCTCCTTCAACATCTCCCCAAAGAAAGTCTTTATTGAGCTTATATAAAGAAATTTGGCGGTAAAAGGACCATTTGCTAATTTTAATAGTTTAGTTTAGGACCTTAAGGCCGTTTGGTATCCTACTAAAAAATCATGATTTTTTTTTTAAAACATGAATTTTTAAATACTGATTTTAGGATATAAAAACTTGTTTGGTATTGAACCTTAAACTATTTTTAAGATCTGAAAAAAAATTGAAATTAAAATGAGAAAATCAGAAAACCTAATTCCAAATTGAAATTAACAAAAGAAAAGGAGAGAGAGAGAGAGAGAGAGAGAGAGAGAG